GACAGGTCTTTGGAGAGGGACATCATGCTGGGCAGAGTGGAGGGCAGGAGGGGAAGACCCTCTATGAGGTGGATTGACTCAGTGACTGGGGTAATCGGGATGGGTGTGTCAGAGGCAGTGCGACTGGCACAGGATAGAGCAGGGTTTAGGGCTGTTGTACATAGGGTCGCTATGAGTCGCAAGTGACTTGACGGCACATAACAGCAATAACAACACTGATTACCAAATGGCTATTTCATTTTTCAAACTACAATCTCTACCAAACTCAGAAAAACCTGATTTATGTATAAAACACAAAATTCATGCTTTGTAAAATAGTTTAAGGATTACCATGTGTAGTTAACATGGGAAAACAATAACTTGTAAATCAAAGTCGTAAGAGATAAACTTCAACTCAGTATTGAGAAAAAAATGTCAAAAGTTTCCAAATATGTTATAGCTACCCAACAACACAGTGAGCTCCTATAGTACAGGCAGAATAACGTGACCCCTTCTTCTACCCTCCACCAAAATATCCATACTCTAAGTCCCCAAATCTGCAAATATGATACAGGGTAAAGGAGGATTAAGGCTGAAGATGGAATTTCAACCTTTTGTTCAGCAAGTATTTTGACATAGGGAGATACTAGTAGTCCCAACATAATCATAAGAGTTTTTATAATTAAGAGGAAAGAGTGTCAAAACTGATACACATTAAGATCAAACTAATCTCTCCTTTCTTTAAAGATGGAAGGAAATCATGAGCCAATCCAGGCCACCTTGAGAAGATGGAAGAGGCAAAAAAAGCAAGACTCTTGGCCCAATTAATACTTTGATGTTAGCCCAGGGAATCATTTTGGACTGATTTCTACAATTCTAACATAAAAAATTTGTGATGTTATAAGCCACTAGGTTTGGGGTCACTTGTGCACTAGAACCAACAAAATCACCAGCGCTTCTTTAGAATGTAGTTCCCCACCCCCTCCAGATGATATTCAGAGACAAGTAGTTACTACTAAGTGTGTATCTGCAGAATGTTATGATGCAGCAAATAAGGATGGCCCAAGTAAGATTTTTAATTGCTTCATACACATGTGAAAGCTAAACAATGAGTCAGAAAGACAGAAGAATTGGTATCTTTGGATTGTGGTGTTAGAAAAGAATGCTAAATTTGCCATGGACTGCAACTGCTCAAAGAACAAACAGATTTATCTTGGAAGAAATGCAGCCAGCAGGCTCTTTAGAAGCAAGGATGGTGAGACTTTGTTTCACACATATGTCAGGCATGTTATTCGGAGAGGCCCTGACTGGAAAAGTGGAGGATCAGTAAAAAAGAGGGGCACTTCCTTCAACAAGGTGGATGACAAACTGACGGCAACAATGGGCGTATCAGCACAGCAGAGACAGTGGGATGGCACAGGACTGGGCAGTGTTTCCTTCTGTTGTACACAGGGTCTTTAAGAGTTAAGAGTCGACTTCACATTATTCACCACCGCAAGAACATGGACACAGCCCAAATGTCCAACCACAAACGAATGGATTGAGAAACTATGGGGCATTCACACCACGGAATACTATGCAGCATGCAGGAACAATAATTTTGTAAATTACCTAACTTGGGAGGGACTGGAGAACATTATGCTGTCTGACCTAACTCAGTCTCACAAGGATAAATATTGCATAAAACCATTATTGTAGAATGAGTGTAAGGATACAAGAGGGTGGGAGAAGTTGGAAGCAGAGCTATGTAGATGTGCAGGGGTAGGGGTGTGTGTGTGTGTGTGTGTGTGTGTGTGTGTGTGTGAGAGAGAGAGAGAGAGAGAGAATCATTGGGTTGTACAATTTGATGGGTGGGGGTTGAGGGAAATTGAAAGAATTTGTCCTTGAAAGCAATGTATTCGAATTTATAAATAAATATATAAGTAAACTAGTAGAAAATAAAAAAACAAAAAGAGTCAACTTCATGGCATCTAACAAGTGAGTTCCTACACTGGGCCTAAGGAAGGAGTTCCTACACTGAAATTTTATGTATATACATACGTATGACTTTCTCTGTAGAAAGGCTCTAGAGTATCCAACTACTCTAAAAAGAAATCTGTTCCACAAAGTTAACAAAATACTTCCTAGAGTATTTCCAACACTGGGCTGTTACTATTCCATGATTTTCTTAGGAGGCATGCCTTAAACTGAGCGAGTTCTGGTGGCAAAGTTTGCTGTTATATGCTCTTGATTCTGAACCAACTTGTAGTAGACTCTCCAGGGCTTTTCAGAGGCAGTAAATACACGAGAAAAGCTTATTCATCTTTCTCGAGCAGAGCAGCGAGTGGTTTCAAACCGCACACCTTTGCATTGCCAGTGCAATTCTTTCCTACTAAGTCACTAGAGCTTTCGGGCACAATCAGTGGCAGAATTAAAATCCACCAGCAGCTCCATGGGTCTACTCCTCCGACTATGATTTGCAGCCTCTAAAACCTGATGGAGGGTTATTATTACCTGGACCTGACTCAATGGTATCGATCCGAGGATTTTTGTTTATGCCTTAACTGGAGTCTATCAAATATCCACGTTAAAACTGACTAACGGGTGTTTCTAAAATGCAGATTTTTCTGGTATCCAAGCCAGGCAGAATCTTGTCAGGATATGGAAAAATTCCATTTTTAACAAAGCAGGGGAAAAGAGTGATTCTTCTGCACCTGGGAGTACCTTACGAAACAACATTATGCTTTAGAAATAGAAATAGTTTTTCATCACCTAGTCTTTACAAACGGAGAAAGGAAGCCCTGGATCTAGTGTGAGGCACTGCTAACGTAAAAAAAATATATATATAAATAAAAAATAAATGTGCGCCTCTTGGGCTGTTCGAATCCATGAACACAGAAAATGGGCAATCTGCTTGAGTGGGATTTTCAGATTTCGCAAAACCAGTAGGAGAGTCAACTATGAATACGTTTTCCAACTACGAGTTTTTCATATTTAGAAACATTGGTGTACTCATTTTACAATTTGCGTGACTTGGTGAAATCTAATTTTTCTGATCCTCACATAGCTCAGATAATGCCTAGTACATCTAGTTTGTAAAACAAAACTTAGTTCTGTGAAGGGTTAACGGGCAATAGGTCACTATAAAAAAAAGATCCATTTCCTTCTATCCCACGTAAGGAAAAAGAATTTCCCGCATGCCAATTTCCTTTTGCCAACATCACGAAAGACAATTCTGCACAAAATTTGCAAGGATTCCCCTAACTGGGTGAACTCAGATCTCCCAGTGATGCTTTTAGTATCTGCAAATTAAGCCGGTACCAGTCATCCGCAAGGCAGCTCGATGGGACTATGATGACAAGCCTTCCAGACAGGCCTATCTCCCACACACCCCAAATTCCAACGCAAGGTCACCGAAAAGCCACGTAAAAGAAGCAGGCAATAACGGAGTCAAATATTCCCAGATCCCAAGAAAAACTTTTGCAACACATACTATGCCAAGTAGCAGACCTCTCCTGGATGAAGAACCAAGAGAACACAGATCCCCAGGCATTTCTACGTCATGACGCACACCCTAAGTTAATGCCTCTACTCAGGCCCATTGCTCAGCTGCTAGGGCGCTATGTGGACCCCTCACTCACCGAGCATCCATTGCGTGCTGTGAAACCATCTCCCACTGGTCACGCGGCCGACAGAGCAGCCGGAAGCCCCTTTGATCAGTCCTGGGCTTTGTCGGCGGTGGAAACCCAGGAGATAGCTTAGCACACGGGGGTCACAGCGCAGCCTCCAGGAGGCCGCCATTTTTCCAGGCTGAACGCGGGCTGGCCACGGAATAGCCTGATCGTCTGGTCATCAAGGCCCCTCAAGGCCCCGCCTCCAACCGCATTGCCACGCCCCCTGGCTGGTTGCCAGCCTTGTCTCTGCCACGGGAAGTCGAGATGCGCAGGCCCATAGCTCCGCCTCCAAACTCGTTAGCCCCTCCTCCGCCAATTGGGCGGCTGGGTCTCCCCGTTAATGAGGCCCCCGCAGACTCCGCCTCCAGGCTGCCCTCAGCGCCGCCTAATTGTACCTGCGATCTCTCCGCATAGTGGCAGGAGGATCTTTGGGAGCGATCCAGTTCGGCGATCGAAGTTCGGTGACTGCGGAACCACCTCGCCCAGGCCATGTCTGACTACCATGCTGCGGAAGGCAACTGCTGCTCGAGGCGATGCTTTGCTCAGGTGGGGCGGGACCGGGTGTTGCCTTTCATTCCAAGGCCTCCTGGGCCTTACGGGGCGGGTTAGCAGCCTTTTGGGGTGTGTGGCAGGATTGTGGCCCTGCTTGGGAGGTGTGGGTCTTGGCATCCCTAGAGCTGAGTGATTCATGAGGCACAACCCCTCCACCCCCCACGTCCTCTGGTATCAGATCGTATGGAATCGTTAGTAATATTTATCATACTTTTTAATCATAAACAATATGCGAGAAATTGAAATTGCTTAAACGTAGTCTCAGGGAGGTTTGATGGCCCAGTGGCAAGAAGCCCCGTGGCAATCCCGAATGCACTCGGTTCAAGGCCACCAGTTGCTCAGAGGGAGAAGGGGCAGTCTTCCTTGTGATTTACTGCCTGTGAAAATCTGCCAGAGGGGTCAGCTGTGGGTCGGATCTTCCTGGAAGGTACACAACAACATCAATATCAGAGCAGCATCAGAGAACTGGACTAAGGATGACAGAAAAAGAATTGATGCCTTTAAGCTGTGGTGCTAGAGAAGACATACTAAGAGAACAAACAGGTCTGATCCGGAGAGAGTGAAACCAAGCTCCTCCCTGGAAGCACAGATTTTGAAGCTCTGTCTCTCGTACTTTGGGCATGTGGCCAGGAGGGACCAGTCCTTGGAAAAGGACATCATGCTCTGAAAGGTGGAGGGACAGCGCGGGAGAGGAAAACTCCAGATGAGATGGAGTGATACAGTAACTGAGGTAATGGGGGTAGGTGTCAGTGACACTGGCTCAGAATACGGCAGGCTTCAGAGCTAGGGTACATAGGGTTATTATGAGTCACAAGAGACTGGACAGCGCATAACACCAACATGGGGTATAAAGCCCTGAAGGCAAAAAGAGGGAAAATGGAAGGATTTATGGGAATGAAAATTATAGGAAGGACAATGTTACAAAATAAAACATGTGAATGGTTGAATGGAAAACCAATTTGCTTTGTAAACCTTCAAATCACATTTTTTAAAAAAGGCAACATGAGTAAATCCTATTTTGAAAATCAAAACACTTACGGGGAAGTCAAGGAAAGAAGTATTGGAGTGGAATTGGAACACGTGCTCTGAATCCTGAAACTTACCATTTCCTGTGCTCTGGAGACTGCCTTGACATTTGGTGTGCAGTATGCACTCAGGAAATGTTGGCAGGATTGGAGTTGAGGCACAGCTCGAGTAGCCTGCATCTTTATTCTGAGCAATTTTTGCTTGCCTACCTTACTTTAAACTGTTCATGAAAACAATTCTACCCTTAAATTGAAGTAAAAGGAAAATCTACTACTTTCAGGCTGCATCCATCTCTCATTCACTTTTAGGTTCATAGAGTGGTAGCTGCCATGGGTCAGCTCAGATTCATGGAGACTTTATATACAACCCTCTCATATCATCCTTGTGATCTCGTCTTTCTCACGGCGGGATCAATGGGCTTGTGCTTATCCAGGCATCATGTCCTCTATCATTACTCCCTCCTAAAGATGAGTTCCCGTCTGAGTCATCCTCGATTTGACAACACCTGATCAAGAGGTGATGGTGATGAAGGAAGACGTTCAAGCTGCTCTGAAGAAATTGGCAAAAAAAACAACAACCCCAAGGTCCTAGGAATTTATGGCATACCAGTTTATATATTTCAACAAACAGAGGCAGTCCTGGAAGTGTTCACCAGGCTGTGCCAAGCAATCTGGAGGACATCTACCTGGCCAACTGACTAGAAGAGATTCATATTCCCATTCCAAAAAAAAAAGGAGACCCGACAGAGTGTAGAAATTATTGAACACTCGTGGTAACAGCAGCCAGGAAATCAGGAGACTAATTGCCCTGGGAAAGTCAGCTGTGAGGGACCTCTCAAGAGAACTGAAGAGCAATGATATCATGCTGGAGACTAAGGTGCACCTGATATAGGCCATGGTCTTTGCAATTACATGCTGTGTATCAATTGGACAGTGAATAGGGATGATAGAAAAAGCATTGATGCCTTTGAGCTGTGATGCTGGAGAAGAGTGTTGAATATACCATGGACTGTTAGGAGAACAAACAGGTTTGTCCTGGAGAGGGTGAAGCCAGAATGCTCCTTGGAGTTAAGGATTCTGAAGCTTCATCTGACATACTTGGGGCATGTTTTAAGGAGGGACTGGTCCTTGGAGAGGGACATGATGTTTGGGAGAGTGGAAGGACGGCATAGGAGAGGAAGACCCTTGATGAGATGGATAGATTCTGTGAGTTGAGTGGTGGGAATGAGTGTGTTTGGGATGGCTAGGTTGGCACAGGATAGAACGGCATTTAGGGCTCTTGCACATAGGGTCACTGTGAGTCACAGGTGACTCAACAACAGTCACTAATATCACACACATTCTTCCTGAAGAAAATGATCCAAAATTTATGGGGGCAGTACATCAACTGCCAGATGTACAGTCTGGGTTTAGTAGAGGCCGTGGTACTAGGAACATTATAGCCAGTGTTCAGTGGATCTTAGCTACAACTAGAATGTATCAGAGGAATGTATATCTGTGTTTCATTGACTATGCAAAGGCATTTGACTGTGTGGGTCATAAAAAATTATGGCTAACCTTGAGAAACATGAGAATCCCAGATACTTCATGTGAAACCTATACTTGGACTAGGAAGCAATTACCAGAACAGAGGAAGGAAACATTGCATGGTTCAAAATCAGGAAAGGTGTACATCCAGGATGTATCCTGTCTCCATACCTTTTCAATCTCTATATGGAACAGATCATTTGGTAGGCTGGATGTAATGAAAAGGATGTATGGAACAGATCATTTGGTAGGCTGCACTTAACATTAGGATTGCAGGAAGACTCATCAACAACCTTCATTATGTGGATGATACAACCTTGTTTGCCGAAATTGAAGAGGACCTGAAGCATTTGCTGCAGAAGGTCAAGAACTGCCGTCTTCAATATAATTCAACATCAAGAAGACAGATTCTCCCCACAATTGGCTACATTATGACAGATGGAGAAGAGTTTGAGATTGTTAACAATTAAAGCTTACTTGATTCCATAATCAACACTCTTGGCATCAACAATCAGGAAGTCAAAAGATGGATGCACTGGGAAAATCTGCTCTCAGGGACCTCTCCAGAGTACCGAGAAGCAACGGTGTCATTCTAGAGACTAGGGTGCACCTGATCCAAGCCATGGTCTTTGCAATTACTTGCTACGCATCAGAAAGCTGGACAGTGACTAATGATGATAGAAGAGTCTATGTCTTTGAGTTGTGGTGCTGGAGAAGTGTTGAACACCATGGGCTGCCAAGAAAACAAATAGGTCTGTCCAGGAGTGAGTGAAACCATGATGGTCTTTGGAGGCAAGGATTTTGAAGCTCTGTCTCATGTACTTTAGGCATGTTGCCAGGAGGGACCAGTCCTTGGAAGAAGGACATTATGCTTGGACGGGTGGAATGTCAGCTCAGGAGAGTAAGACTACGGATAAGAGGGATTGACTCAGTGACTGGGATGATGCGGTAGTTGTGTCAGATAGAGATTGCCTTAAAACAGGGCAGGTTTAGAGCTATTGTCCACAGGGTTGCTATGTGTTGTAGGTGACTCAAGGGCACATAACAATAACAATGATGAATTCAGGGAGCTCTGGGAGCCTTGTGGCTAAGAAGTTGTGCTGTGTACCCTGTACACAACAGACCCAAACCTTCTGTCCCTGCCTCACAATCTCCACCATGCTCGCGATCAGTTATGTGGTCACTGTGCTAGTCCACTCATTGAGGGTCTTCCTCTTTTTTTGCTGACCTGCTTTTCCAGGCACTTTACTAATTTTTAGCATTACCCTTGTACCCAGCCATTTGGGATATAGAGATGAATAAGATATGCCCTAAAGCCTAGAGGAGAAGTAAATAAGTAAACAATTTTAACTCAATTTGATAAACCTTGTTTAAGAGGGAAGAAACTCCTCATGCCTAGAATTAGCTACTATAATTTTTAGAGCTAATGGTCCTAATGAAAGCCCAGTAGTACCTAGATTTTATTGCTAAACCATTATTAACCTATTTAACTGACTCTAGCTTAGGACTCTTGGATGTTAGAATTCTGGACAGGAAAATTTGAGTGAGTGAGGGGAAGAAGTTTTTGGGATAGATATACTTAAGGTAGTTGCTAGCCTATGCATGTAGAGAACGAGTCAGCAAAAAATTGGGGTCTTTTTTGAATTTGACATAGTAGCCAGTTAATCAGTCACGCTTAAGTTGGATTGAAAGATAATTTTATTAAGGTGTGTACATTACATACTGAGAGCCAGATGGGCCTTAGAAATCTCCAAGTCTTCTTTTGCTCAAGGCTTAGTTAAATAGAAATCAAAGAGGAAAAGAAAACATGCAGGCAGTGAAGTGAAACACTTAATTCCAGATGTAACACAGTCCCAAGGCTCATTAAAACTGGGATAACGGGCAGGGAGTATTCAGCTCTTTATCTTCACAAGAAGGGCAGGGCAGCTTGCCCTGGTCTCCCTGACGTCAGAAGAGTTCCAGATGGTCAGTCCATCAAAGCATTCTGTTTCAAAGCTGGGTTGAATACTAGTTACTCACAGCAGTAACTGATTAACACTAGCAATAACTCAAAAGTATATAAGGAGAAAGGGAAAAGTGCAAAGTTGGAATGGGCAGTAGAGGAAGATGGCTTCACTTTTCCTTAGCCTGTTATCACTGACAACCTAAAGACACATGGTCTGAATCCAGCAGCCACTCAAAGTGACAAAGACGGGCAAGCTCCTCCTATGTGATTTACTGCCTATAAAAACCTTGTTGAAGGGTCAGCTATGAGTCTCTTCTGACTCAATGTTACATAACAATAACAAATTATCACCAGGAGACTGGAGATAATGTATTCTAAAGATCATCACTAAGGTGTTTCAATATCACATGGTTTTAATGTCCCCCTTAAATTAATCTTGGTGCAGTGTCACCTAAATGAACAATAACTCAATTATTGCTGTCAAGTCTGAAACAACT